CCTTTTCTTCCTGAATGACCAAAATAATGATCTTGGGGGACTGGAAATCCTTTTACCCTCTCCCCTCTTTCCAGTTTGTCCCTAGTGGTTAGAAGCTGTAGCCTCTCCAGTCCTTGAAATATTTATTTCTGAGTCTTCCCACTCCAAAAGGAAGTATTCTTTAAAGTTTGGATGTGTTAGATCCCAGTCCTGCAATTGTTAACGCACAGGCGGACTGTCTAATTCTACACAAGGCTCCATGCTGCAGTCCACTTGCACACTATTACTTTTGTGGAATCTCATATAGGGGAAAAACTCCTATATACAGGAGATGATAAATCCTTGTACAGGTACTGTGGAAGTAAGTCTCTCTGAAGAGAGAGGTATGTATATGATTTTTAAAGCATCGGCCCTGAAGATTTTCCTGTGTTTGCCAAATAGAGAAGCCAGCTGTCATAGTATGGCAACAGCTGTCGCAGGGCTTATTCATGTTTCAGTGCCCAGGCCTATTTTGGTGTGGCAGCTGTTGAGAAACACTGCCTGCCTTCTGACAAGAGGAGCTGTTGTGCTCAGTGGGTTGGAGGCCAGCTGGTGAGTGCTCCCTGATCTCCTTGCCTTGAATGTAAGCAGAATGGAGCCTCGTATGGTTTGGTTCCTGAAGAAGGGTGGTGACCAGCTGCTCGGTGAAAAGGTGGCAACACCCCGAAGCCCAGCTCTGTAGAGTGTTGCATGATTGTATGCCCAAATACATTTTCTAGTGCCATCACCCCATTGTCATACATAAGCTTCTTTTCCTCTTATTCTAATTTTCACCCCTCCAATTGCCACTATACTCTGGCTTTCTACCTTCTTTTGTCCTCTCCCTCCCATCTAGCTCCCTCTTTTTAATAATATCTTGTTAATTCACCCACCCCAGAGATCACCTTGACACTGGGCTCGTCTAGCTCCCTCTTTAATAATATCTTGTTAATTCATCCACCCCAGAGATCACCTTGACACTGGGCTCTCACCTTCCAAAAGTACATAAAACTGTTGGGGTCTAAATTAGCTGTTACCATTCAAGAGAGAGATCTTGGCGTCATTGTGGATAGTTCTCTGAAAATATTCACTCAATGTGAAGAAGCAGTCAAAAATTGCAGACGGAATATTGGGAATCATTAAGTAAAGAATAAATAATAACACAGAAAATAGCTTATTGCCTGTATATAAATCGATGGTATGCCCACATCTTGATGCTGCATACAGATGTGGTTGCCTCATCTCAAAAAGGGCAACAAAAATGGTGAGTATGGAACCAGCCACCTTATGAAGAGAGATTAGTAAGACTGGAACTTTTTAGCTTGGAAAAGAGACTACGGGGGATATGATAGAAGTCTATAAAATCATGACTGCTATGGAAAAAATAAATGAGGTTGCGTTGTTTACTCATAACACAAAAACGAAATTAATAGGCAGCAGGTTTAACAGAAACAAAAGGAAGGTTTTTTTCTCCACACAAAACCAGTCAACATGTAGAACTTCTTGCCAGAGGATATCATGAAGACCAACGCTATAAATGGATTTTAAAAAGTACTAGATAAGTTCATGGAGAATAGGTCCGTCAATGACTATTAGCCAGCATGGACAGGGATAGTGTCTGTTTGCCAAAAGCTGGAAATGGATCATTTGATGATTACCTGTTCTTATTCCCACTGGGGCCACTCTCATTGGCCACTGATGGAAGATCAGATACTAAGCTAGATGGACTGTCCCCCATATTCTGCTCTGACCCAGTTGGGCTGTTCTTATGAAGGGTAATATTGAGCAGGGTGAGCAGGAGCCAAAGTGATTCTGAAACATTCACCCTTCTCTTGAAGGCAGTGGAAATACTCACATGTGTAAAGTTAAACATAGTTTTGCAGGCTCAGACCCCATGTGTGTGAGTTGACACTCAGTTTTACTTTTTAGTTACATTTTTCATTAAGCATACATGATTGACGAGAGGAACACATGGGAATAATCTACTTGTCTGTATTTGGACTGTGAGCTGCACAAGGCAAGGAAAGTGTCTTTTATCTTCTCTTCTGGGAAACTCCTAACCATGGTAGCCACTGTTGGAAAGAATTATTGAAAATAAATAATCATCCATAATTCTACATGTGCAGCCTGGACAGGCTGGGACAAAAAATGATGCTTTGATATGTTGAGCGGATTTCTGCCCTGGAAACCAGCTTCAGAACCACTAACACAGCCCTTTTCCAGCAGTTCCAGTACAAATAGTACTTTGCTATTAAAGGTTTGCGGTGGCTTTTGTTCAGTTACTAAGCAGACTGTTCCAAAGGATCATTAGAGTAGCAGCTATTCCTGCCAATTATCAAGGGCAAAATACTGGATGTGTGCATTCAGAGCCTTGTGGGAGGGGGGAGATAGATTTGCAAAATGTTACTTTCACAAAAATATGTTCTGCTAGAAAATTTGCTGAGGCAAACACATTATATCAATGCAGTATAATGAGCTGTCAAGAGAATGGCTGTTCTATTTGCTGCACTTACTGTTCTTCACCATTTTGGGTCAGTTTTTCTTTACATTCTCCTTTTTTATGCATAAAATCAGTATGCTTTTTTTCTTCATCTAGCATTCAAGTCAAGGGTGATGGCTTGCCTGTATTAACCTGAAGAGATGGCTGTTTTATCGTGCAGCTGCCTTTACATCCTTCCCTTGTCACCCTGCCCCCTTGCATATTAAGAGTTGAAACTGCATTTATGGCAAAGGACACTATACTGTGGTGGAATTTATGATTAGTGTAGCTTTATTTTATAATGTATCCGTTATACAAACTGTGTTAGATGCCTTGGAGGATTAAATATATTTATTGATTCAGAGGGAAAGA